ACATTTAGGTCTTTCATCCATTTTGAATTTATTTTTGTGTATAGTGTAAGGAAGTGGTCTAGTTTCATTCTTCGGCATGTTGCTGTCAGTTTTCCCAACACCATTTGCTAAAGAGACTGTCTTTTTTCCATTGGATGCTCTTTTCTGCTTTGTCAAAGATTAGTTGGCTATACATCTGTGGGCCCAATTCTGGGTTCTCTATTCTATTTCCTTGGTTTATGTGCCGTTTTTGTGCCAATACCATACTGTCTTGATGATTACAGCTCTGTACTAGAGGCTTAAAAAAAACAAAAAACATTTATTTATTTATTTTTAGTAATCTCTACACCCAGCATGGGGCTTGTATTCATGACTCCAACATCAAGAGTTGCATGCACTTCAAACTAAGCCAGCCAGGTGCCCCAAGATATTCTTAATTTCAGTTACAGTATACATCTAGCATTTCTTTTTAGTTCTTTCTTAGAATTTCCATCTTTCTTTTTACACTGTTCATGTATTCTTCCATTCTCTCTACTTTATCCATTACAGTCCTCAGCATATCAATTAATCATAGTTTTAAATTCCCAGTCTCATAATTTCAACATCTCTGCCATGTTTAGTCAGTTCTGATGCTTGCTGTCTCTTCCAACTCTATTTTCTACCTTTCAGTATATCTTGTAATTTTTTTGTGATAGGCACACACGATATACTGGGTAAAAGGCATGGCTGTAAATAGGCTCTTAGTGATGTGGTGGGGAGTTGTGGGGAGAGGGGAGAAGGGAGAGGGGAAGTGTTCTATAGTCCTAGGATTAGAAATCAGTCTTTTATTGAGCCGATGCCTCTGAACCATACACTGTACACCCTGTCGGCTTTGATCTCCCCCTCAGTTTGGGCAGGATGACTACAGCAGGCTGGACTTAGATGTCTTACTTGTCTCAAGTCCATTAGGCTTTGATAAACTCCAGCAGGTTAAGCTCTCATTGAGGAGTTTCTTCTGAGAGCAGGCTGTGTTACGAAGAACAGGATGGTCTGGTATATTTCAAAATGGTTTCCATTACTGTTAGCACAAGGGCAGTTTTCTCTGATATTCTCTGGGAGAACCTGGTTAAGGTCCAGGAAGTAAAATTCACAAAAGTGTGGGATCCTGCCAATGACTGTGTTCTCTGGAGATTTTATCTCTTAGACTTGTCCACATGGAACCTCCAACGATTTTTCATTTGTAGTTCAGGTTTTCATACACTGGCAATGATTCCTACAAAGGTTTCTGTTCTGTTAAGCAAATACAGTGATTCTCTGTATTTGCCTGTCTGTACCTCCAAATGTAAGAGCAGCGGTTTGTCTTGTGATGTCATTTCTCTTATAGGTCTAAGAAGAGTTGTTGATCTTTTTAATTTATTCAGCTTTTAGTTTGTTCAAACAAAGTACCTTCCAAGCATCATCTATGCTGGACTAAAAATTAGTAGTATTCTTTTGAATATTTTTATATATAGAATTATGTGATCTGGGAAGAGATAGTTCCTCTGCGCCCTTTCCAGTTTGGATGCCCTCTCTTTCTTTTTCTTGTCCATTCCTCTGGCTAGATACTTCAGTATAATGTTACACAGCAGTGGTAAAAATGGGCATACCTGTCACATTCCTAATGTTAGGGACAAAAGTTTTGGTTGGTCAACACTGAGTATGATGTTAACTGTGGGCTTTTCATAAATATCTTCCATCATGTTGAGTGCATTCCTTTCTATTCCTAGTTTTCTGGGAGCTTCCTTCATGAAAGGATGTTGGATTTTGTAAAATGACTTATGCGCTTCAATTAAGGTGGTCATTCCCCGCCAGGTTCTATAGTGGTTTACTTTCTTAAGCTGAACTACGCTTGAATTGCTGAAGTAAAACAATTTGTCATAGTACCTAATCCTTTTAATAGCGTTTTGGACTTGGTTGGCTAGCATTTTGCTGACGATTTATACCTCATTAGGAATGTATACTGATCTGTAATTTTCTTTTCCTGTAATGTTTTTTTTTTCTTGTAATGTGTTTTTTTCTTGTAATGTTTTTTAATATATGACTCTGGTATCAGAGTAATGCTAATATTATAGGATGAGTTGAGAAGTACTCCCTACTCTTGTAATCTATGGTAGAGTTTAAAAGAGATTGGTGTTCATGCTTCTTTATATGTTGGGTTCAATTCATTGAAAGCCTCTGGCCCTGGACTTCTCTTTGTCAGGAGATTTCTTCTTATTGATTTCATCTCTTTACTTGTTATAGGTTTGTTGAGATGTTCTGGTTGTTGTGTTTTGTTTTGCTTTTTGTTTTTTTTTTCTTGAGTCACTTTAAGTAATTCATATGCTTCTAGCTAAAGGTTTGTCAATTTAGTTGATCTTTGAAAAATTCAATTTTGGTTTCATTCATTCTTGTTATTATTTTTCTATTTTCATTTAATTAACTCTGCTCTAATCTTTATTATTTTCCTCCTTCTAGCTTTGAGTTTCTTTTGCTCTTCTTTTTCTGGTTCTGTAAGATATTAAGCTAGGTAACTGCTTAATGCACTGCTTCCACTGCATCAGTGTGGTGTTTTCATCAGACTCCTCTCTAGGTATTTTCTAATTGTCTTTGATTTCTTCTTTGACCCACTGGTTAAGAGTATCTTGTTTTATTTCCACATATTTTCTTAACATTCCAATTTTCCTTATGTTACTGATTTTTACCTTCATTCCGCTGTGGCTGGAGAAGATACTTTGTGTGACTTCGGTCTTCTTAGATTTTTGAGACTTGTGTTGTGCCTAAACATCTGGTGTATACTGGGGAATATATCATATGCACTTGAGAAGAATGTGTATTCTGCTGTGTTGAGTAGAAAGTTTTTTATACAAGTCTGTTAGGTCTGGTTAGTTATAGGGTTGCCCAAGCCCTCTGTATACATATCTTCTGTCTATATGTTCTATGCATTATTTGGAATAGGGTATTGAATTTTCTGTTATTTAAGAATTATCTCTCCCTTTATTCTATTGAAGAGTATTTCTAATGAACTGAATAGGTTCATCCTTTTAGAATGGTCAAAATAGGTTTCAAAAACAATTCAAAACAGGTTTACAAGAAATTAAACCAAGAAATTCCAATTTTAAATACCCTTATGAAATGACAGTGTAAGAATAATCACAGCCAACATTTACTGAGCCTTTATTTTCTGCCAGGCTCTAGGCAAACAATTTTAAATGCACTAGCTTATGTATAAATCCCAAATTTATACATGATATGAGAGATTATGAGAGTTTGATCAACAGGTAAATACATATGATTCAAAGTTCTCAGTGCAGCAGTGTTCACCACAGGAAATGATAAAGAGCAAACTAGTGGATAGAACATGGCACTGAGTTAGAAAGTCCAGGTTAATTTTTTTTTAATGTTTATTTATTGTTTTTGAGAGAGAGAAAGAAACAGAAAGAGTGTGAGTGGCAGAGGGGCAGAAAGAGGAAGACACAAATTCTGAAGCAGGCTCCAGGCTCTGAGCCATCAGTGCAGAACCCAATGTGTAGTTCGAACTGCAAGATCATGACCTCACCCAAAGTCAGATGCTTAACCGACTGAGCCACCCAGGTGCCCCTTGAAAATCCAGGTTTCAAGTGTACTTTATCACTTATGACCACACAATCCTTAAGTCTCCTGGGTTTTAATTTCTTCAAATGCAAATAATCTCTAAGATACCTTCCAGTCTTTACGACTGTTTGTTACCCAATCACCTAAGACAGTGCCGGAAACAAAAGAGACCCTGACTGAAAATTATTTGAGACAGTAATGTAGTACCTTCTATGTACTAATCCTATTCCAGAAGCTAAGTATATAGAAGAAACATCTCTACTTGGAAAAGCTATGCAATCATGATGAATCAGAAAAATAAAAATAAACCAGTATCTAAAACAAGAAATAAAATCTAGAGTTTATATTTAAATTTACAACAGAGAAATCTTATTTGCAACCACTGATCTCTAGCATTTGGAGAAAAAGTTCTGATCAATTCTACCACATCATTCATTCAATGATTTAAAACATTTATTAAACAAGTATTGAATATCCAATCTCGAGCCAGGTAAATACTATATCTGTGTGTTTTCAATAAGCTAGGTCACAGTTTAGGCAGGGAGACATTCTGTGGATAAATATGATAAAAGGATATTAAAGTTATTAGCAGAATTCTACAGTAGCATGGACTTCCTGAGATGACATTCAACTTGATTCTTGCCAGATGAGTGAGACTAGACTATGCGTGGTTATGCAAGGAGAGTGTGTAGGGGAGGGCTCGCAGATGACACAGAGAAGACTCCTCTGCCAAGGTTAGAGTGCAGAAGGGGCAGACATCGTGCAGATTATAATGCAGCATTGTAAAAACAGGACGTCCACTGTTCTCTCACTTGGGCATACCTAACACGAGTATCACAGCTAACAGGTACTGAGCAGTTACAGGTCTGTGCATGTGCTCCTTACATAGAACCAAGGAGATAGGGTTTCACAGATAAGAAAATCTAGGTCTGAAGAGATTAAAATGCTTTGTCCTGTATCACACAGCTAGTAAATGATAGGGCTAGGAGTTAAAACCAAGCAGTCTGACTTTAGAGTTTGGCAAAAGGATCTCCCTTGCTCAGCTGTGTGAACCCATGCCTATTATCGTCTGAGCCCCCCCTCACATGAGGAGCTCCCCTGAGGCTCTCCAAAGTCCTTTGCGAGCTCGAGGGTCCGGGGCTCTGACGGTGCCCCCCGCAGAGTACCCACACGCCATGCCCAAGTGTGCCTCAATAGTTTAACTCCTTCCTGATGGATTTCTTCTCCCCACTAAACACAACCTTCCCTTTCCTTCTAGAATGCCAAGGAGGTCTATGTCAGCTTCTGCTAGAAAAAACAAGAATGGCAAATGCTAGGTTTGGAGGAGAGCTAGTTTTCAGTCCACATCAAAGAGAGAACGCGGACTAACACTCGTGTTAAGCCTTAAGAGAAGCCAATTATTTCAACTTTGCAGATGTGAAGTCCAACAATACCTTTAGTCCCTCCAATTCGTTTTCCAGCTGCTTAGAATAGTGCTCGCTCTGTTCACGCAGCTTCCTGTCTTTAGACGCCTCGGCAGCCACGGCTTCGGAACGCACTTCCAGCTTTAAAATCAAATGAAAAAGGCAGATTCCACGGTTACAACCTGTTTTCCAGTGAGATGCTTTCCCCCGTGGGAATTTACCTTGTCGCAAGAAGGGAACTCAAATGTTGAAATTCGTGTTAAATACAGTTAGCCAACTAAAAAAATTCTTTTCCACAATTAAAGTACGAGATACACATTATTTCACTTATCTGAAAAGGCAGCTTTAATCGCGACCCCCTGGGCACTAGAAAATCTGCCTGACTACTAACCTCTTTCTTGGCTCTCTCTGTCCTGCGCAGTTCTTGCCTTAAGCTTTCAACTTTTTGCATCACCAGGTCCACCTCTTCTTCCTTATCTCGCACGTGGCGAGCAAGTTTCTGTTTTTGGGTGTGCAACTCTGTCAGCCGCTCATTGATCTCCATGAATTCCTGCATGGCCAGTTTCCTCTGACAGTGTGCGTCTTTCAGCTCTTTGGACTGGTTTTTTAATCGCTCACTAGCCTGGACTAGTTCCTACGGTTTCGTAAAAAGAATATAAGTTACCAATTCTGCAACCTAGGGACCCACTGTGGCCCTCAAAGGAGCTATCATTAAGTCATGAAGAGCCAAAATTATTCATCTCTGGACAAAATTAAAAGGAATCAACTCCTTTTGAACAGACAGTAATAGCATGGCGCTCCATTCATGTTCTCGGTTCCTTATGCTCATCAGCTAATTGCGACAGAACAGCTGATTGAATCTTCTAGTACCTTAGTTTCTACAAAAGAATAAAAAGTATGGAAATACCAGATGTGATGGTCTATTAAAGGTTTTGTGAAATGTAATGGATGCTTGTGAGATGTTTGAAAATTCTATTGAATCACTACAAATGGTAAAAAACAAGGAATGATCTCAAGTGGAGACTATGACTTAGCCAGAAGCAAGGAGAGAAAGCTAAATAAATGCCAGGATGAAAGTGAAAGGAGAGGAGTTAAAGACAACTCAGGTCAGGAGAACCACCTGCCTCTGGGCAAGAGGAAACACAAATCTTTTTTGAGGAAAGAGCTTCAATGAAATCTAGGGTTTTTAGACACACAAATATGAGCACACAACCAGAGATTCCCAAACACCCAAAGAACGAACGACCATAAGCAGGGAACAGAAACAATAAACTCCAATGGTGAGGTGCCTGGGTAGCTCAGTCAGTTGGTTAAGTGTCTGACTTTGGCTCAGGCCACGATATCACGGTTCATGAGTTCAAGCGTCGCATTGGGCTCTGTGCTGACAGCTCAGAGCCTGGAACCTGCTTCGGATTCTGTGTCTCCCTCTCTCTGCCCCTCCCCTACTAGCACCCTCTCACTCTGTCTCTCTTAAAAACAAAATAAGAACATTAAAAAAATACAACTGCCAATGGTATTTGGATGTTTGCATTGTCAAATATTAAGATAAAATGTTACATTTGAGGAAGTAAAAAGAAATCATCAAAATGGGAAAACGACAAAAGACTATCGAAAATGACCAGGGAAATTTATAAACAGCTGTACAGAACATTTAGAAATGGAAAAAATACAAGTGTTAAAATTAAAGACCTGAACCTATCAATGAAGTTAGCTCTATAGGAGACAAGAAAAAGTGTTAAAGCTTGAATCCAGAAACTTCAAAAAAATAAAATTATGGAGCACCAAGTAAAAATAAATGTCCTTAAAGGAAATCAGTGGAAAAAAGACAAATCCCCTATCCCCCACCCTCTAAAAGAAAGAGATAGACTTAGAGCCGACACCTGAAAAGTAACAACAGAAACAGGGAAAATGTAAAGAGAGAAGAAAAATTAAAACTGCAGACCCAGGAAAGTTCCTTTTCGAGTATGGGGCTAAAATAATTAGATTCATATAAATGAAAATCGACAAAGCTTATCACGATCAGATCTATGCTAAATAGGAACTTCTAAAGATTTATCTCAGGGAAAAGAAAAATAATTTTAAAAGCAAAGTCTAATGACATAGAAATGGAGGCCTAAGACACTGGTTGACATAAATGTGAATGTAAACATGCACAGAAGTCTGTATGATAAACAGGTCTCAACTGTACAGGAAACAGAAAGGATATAAGTAATTTTTGGTCAAAAACAACACAAAAGTTGGAAAGAGGCAACAGAGTTAGAGGTCCTTAAACTGCTGGGGAGATAATAATTTAGATTTTGTTAAACATGCATGATAAGATTCAAGAGCAACTATTAGAAACTGTTAAAACCAATAGTGAGAAAAGTGGGAGCATAAACAAAAAACAAATACAATGAAAAGTCAAGAAAAAATTGTGCAAGTTAAAAAAAATCTGGAGATTAGTTGTACAACAACATGAATGTACTTTACACTACCAAACTGTACATGTTAAAAATGGTTAGGGTAGATGTTATGTTATATGCATTCTACCACAATTTTAAAAAGGGAAGAAAGGAAACAAAGAGAAGCACAGAGATGGCATGACAAACAGAAAGGAGAAAGTACTTTGGTACAAACACGTCTAGATAAGTTGGTCAAAATAAATATGAAAGGGCTAAGTTTGTTATAACAAACTAAAAATAATGATCTAGACTTTAATCAAAAATGTGTTATTAAGGACAGAGAATGTTCCATGTAATGTAAAATTCAACACCAGGAAGAAGCGCTATTCTCAACTTTTATGCATTCCATAAAGTAGACTCAAAATAGATTACAAAGGAATTGCAAAATCATCATAGAAAAATTGGTGAACACATTACAATAATGAGAAATTTTGATTTCACGTTCATTAATAAACCAAGCAGTTAAAAAACAGTGAAATAGTGATTATCAAGCTTCGTAAGTAGATGCTCTCATCCAATACTGGGAACATGCATTCTTCTCAAGCATACAGTGAACATTCGAAAATGGAACAGTCTGATTAGGCCATGAAACAAGTTTCAGCAGATTTCAAAGAAGAGATATCAACGCTCAAGTTCTTTCATAACATCACCATTACAATAGAAATTTTTAAAAAGGCTAAATTCCATAATACCTCATTGGTCAAGGAGAAAAGTTGTTAAAATATTTAGGACTAGAAAAAAAGTTGAAAATACAAACAATAAAAATGTCTAGTACATGTAATAAAATGAGAAAGCAGTAACAGGTAGATTTTACTTAGGGGTAGATTTATAGCTTGAAATACGTATACTGCAATTAAAAAAAAGGATTTAAATTCAATGAAATTCCATATAAAAAAGGACAGAACACACAAACCTTCCACCAACATAAGAAGATAATAAAAATAAGAACATAAACTAATGAAAAAGAAATGTGAGGATAATGAACATCAACAAAGTCAAAAGTTGGTTCTTTGAGAAAAATAATAAAATAGGCAAGTACCTGGTGAGATCAAAGAAAGGAAGAATAAATGCAAAAAGAAATAATGTTAAGAAAGACAACAATATTATAACTACAAATCTGGAAGAGATCAAAAAAGTTAATGGAGGGCCGCCAGGGTGGCTCAGTTGGTTAAGCATCCAACTTCGGCTCAGGTCATGATCTCGTGGTTTGTGAGTTCAAGCCTCGCATTGGGCTCTGTGCTGACAGCTCAGAGCCTGGAGCCTGCTTCGGATTCTGTGTCTCCCTCTCTCTCTGCCCCTCCCCTGCTCATGCTCTGTCTCTCTCTGTCTCCCAAAAATAAATAAATGTTAAAAAAAAAAAAAAAGCTAAAAGAAGAAAAACTTTATGCCAATAAATTTGTTAACTTCTGAAATGAATTCGTACAAAAATACAATTTCTCAAAACCGCTTCAGCCAGAAACAGAATGCCTAAATAGTCCTGTAATAATTAAAGTACCTAAGTAATAGTTAACAAACTCTCCCCACCCCCTCAGAGGGAAAGAATTTCCAAACTCAGATGGTTTTACAAGTGATTCCTCCAGTGTTTCAAGGAACAAATTTTCCTCTTATACAAAATTTTATCGAGAAAAGAAGAAGCAATGCTACACAACTCATTCTAGGAGACCAATATAATCTTGATACCATAAAAAACACCAGAAAGAAAAAAAATTACAAGCCAATCTTATTGATAATGACAAATCAAAAATTAGAAAAAAAACGACATTAGCAAATCAACTCCAGTGATATATAAAGTAGATACGCATGAACTCTGGGCCTCAACTTCTTGTGTTGGAATTCCAGCTCTGTCACTGTCTAGCTCTATGATCTTGAGCAAGTGTACTTGACCTCTCTGTGCTTAGTTTCACCATTTATAAAATATTAATAATAAAACAACAACAATAATACCTAAATCACAAGGCTCTTATAGAGACTGATCTAATATAGGTAAAACACTCTAATAGCAGTGCTATTACATAAGTGTTACATATAGTGGCATATTATTATTTAGCAGCTAATATATGCACAATTAAGGTTTAACCCAGAATACAAAAATGGCTTAACATTAGGAAAAGTCTATAAATACAATGTGCCAAACCAAGTTATTAAAGAACAATCATATAAGCATGTCAAAAGATATTACCAATTCCTAGACATCTGTCATAACAGTGTGCAGAAAAGCGTATTTAATAAGTTCAATACCCATCCTTGATAAAAATGATTAGCAAAACAGGAATAGAAGATAAATTTCTTAACCTGATAAAAAAGATTTACCAAAAACTTACAGAAAATATTATTAGTGGTGAAACAGTAAAGGCATTTTCTTTGAAATCAGCACTAAGACAGGGAGTCTGCTATCACCAGTTCAATTCAACACTGTACTGTGGGTCCTAGCTAACACAGTGAGACAAGGAAAGAAAGAAAAGTCATAACAATTAAAAAAAAAAACCTGTAAGAATCTCAAATATATTAGTACAATTAATAAGAATTTAGTAATGGTGCCAAAGCAAAATCAGTAAGAAAATATAAAGATACCATTTAAAATGTGAAAAAATAGAACAGCAAATTTAAAGAAAGGCAAAAAAGACCTACATAAAATTTTATGTTAAAACATTCAAGATGTTAAAGATATGGTGAAATATGCCAAGTTTGTGGATGGGAAGACTGTGGGGCTCCAGAGGAAACATTTTTATGTTTCTGTATAGACGGCACTTTCTAACAAATTTTACTGAAAGCTGGGACCTGGGCTAAAAGCAAGCCTTATAATTTATGACTAATTTAGAATGAGAAACTCCAAAGAGATTTAACTCCTGGATGTACGTGCTTGTATTTTAGCAGAGGTGAGGAGATCAACAGGAGCCTGGATCAGGGAGCCACCCTCTTCACAGAGCTGGAGCGTCTGGGCTGATTTTTCCACTGGAGGGATTTACTTATATTCCAAAGGGTCCTAGACTCTTCTCTTGACAGTTCCAAGGAGACTCTCAGAAGGATGGGTGGAGATAATGGGGGACAGAGAGAAGGAAGCATCTGCCTCTCATCTTTATATAAACACCCTCACTTTTTTAGGATTCCTCATCCACAACACCGATTCCATATATATGTGTGTGTGTATTTATAAGCAGGGCTTTATCTACCCAGCTCTGCACTGCCTCAGAGGTAAGCATTAGCACACAGGCGAGCGGTGTGCTTATCTCTGCTGTATGTGCATCACAATACTGTGCCCTGGTCCTGAAATCGGTGTGTGTACTTGGAATAATATTAATAAATATGACAGTAAGAACTTAAAGATTCAATACTGTAACGATGTCAATTCTCCTGAAATTACTCTACAGATTTAACGCAATTTTAATCAAGATCTCATCAAAGGTTTTAAGGAATGGAGAGGTGAGATACAGAGTCATGCATAGATGGAAATGTAACATACGACAGAGGTGACGCTGCACGTCACTGGGGAAGACAGGGCCTATTTTGTAAATGAGCTACTGTTAGCTACAGGAAAAGCTGAAATTGGATCCTTGCATCTCACATGATACCAAAAAGTAAATCTGGTATATTAAAATTTAAATACAAAAGGCCGAACTTTAAAACTTCAAACTAAAAACTGAGAACTTTAAAAAAAAACCTGAAAATTTTAACCTCAGGTTTCTTACATAAGCCAGCAAATCTTTAAATCTTTAAGAAAGATTGACATATTTGACTACATTAAAACTAAAAACTTCTGTTATTCAAAAGATCCCATGAAGAAAATGAGAAGTCAAGCCACTAACTGGGAGGTTTTTTAACACAACTTACAAAAGATTAATACAGAAATTTTCAAGAATTCTTAACAAACTAGTATTGTTGAAAATAGACCAGGTGGTGGAGTGAAAGTATAAATTGATGCAATCAGTGGAAACGATTCGGCATTATCATGAAAAATAGAGTTATCTGCATTATTTATGACCCAATTATTCTACTCGTAATTATATGTACAAGTGTGTGCACATCAGCATACATATTCAAGAATGGTCATTTACAGTGGCTATCAAGTGTGAGCAGCTTTAATGACTCTTAAAAAAACCTGAATACATAGATTCTGGAGCATTCGCATAGTGGTGTACTGCACAGCCGATAAATGAATGCTCTACAGCTCTATGGATGAATCTTGGAAATATAAGGAGTAAAAAACCAAACTGTACAAAGTTGCGTGTACCACTTTACAAAGCTCAGAGACAAGCAACACTAAATATTTTTGTATATATTTTTAATTTCCTATGGCATTAAAAATGCTTTAGCCAACAATCTTAATGGCTATATAATATTCCATCATATGAACTGGTTGGGCATTTCAGTTGTTTCTAATATTTTTCTTTTGTAAATGTGGTAAGAAATTTCTCATGAACAAATTTTTGTTTGAATGATTATCTTCGTGAATTAAATTTCGACGAATGGAATTTATTATATCAAGTACTTTAGTATTTGAAGGCTCTGGATACTTATTGCAAATTAGCTTTCCAGAAATAATATATCAGATTATAATCTTACCTGGAGCATTTGGCACTGGCATTTTTATTTATTTTTACTGAGGTATAATTAACATAGAACGGTGTACAACACGGTGATTCGACAATTCTATACGTCACTCAGTGCTCACCAGGATAAGCAGAGTTACTGTCCATCACCACACAATGCTATTACCATATTACTGACTATATTCCCTATGCTCTACTTTTTAACTTCATGACACATTTATCTTATTATATATTATTTAGACACTAATATGGGATAAGAAGTATTTTTCAATAAGGAAATGACAGACAATAAGGAGAAAGGAATAAAAAAATAACTGGCCAAAGCTATGCCACAAGATTCGTAATGTTCTATTCCTTAAATTAGATGGTAGGTTCAGAGATGTGCATTATATTTTTTGCATTAAAACTCATACAATGTTACATTTATTCTTTTATATGTATCTAATGAAAAACTGTTAAAAAGATTATCTGCTGCCTGTAGGATATTAAGTAAATCACTTAAAATTTTTTATCAATTTTTCTTTATAGCACTACCCTCTTCTCAAAACACACTAAAAAAGGATTTTTAATATTAAAACTTAATAAAATTGGCAAGGTACTTGTTACTATAAATCTAGATATCGGATTCTCATCCTTTTCATGTTTACTAAGTTTGGTTGAATAATTCTAGTTTTAAATACATAAGTTACCACTAATACAACATTACTACAATATTATTAAAACATATAGAGCATCTGCCATAAATTCCAAATGTTATGAAGTTGGCCACGGATTTAAATGGATCTGAACACAAAACTGCTTCTAACTGCATTAATTAAAAAGTAAAAATACACTAACCAAATTAAATTTAACCTTTATAGCTTTCTCTATTACTCTTTGATTTGCTTCATCAGCAAAAGGTTGTTTTATTTTTAATTGGCTCCATTTCTTTACTGACAGGAAGACTTTAAAATCTTCTCCAAAAGTACTTCATTATACTATCAGTTATAGACTACATCATCAAATACAATTTATACATGCCATAAACCACTCATTGCTTTTTTTATGTTGGCTAGTATTCTGACATTTTTCAATTTGTTAATGAAAGGCATAGTACACATTCTGAGTGGTTTAAGTAAAAGATTTTTCTCTGGTGCTTGAACATTATTTACCCTATTGGATGTGTTAGATTGTTTTTGCTATTAATAAATTGTGTTGATGTTTACATAATACTGTGTAAGTATTACATCAAGTTCTTATGAAAATAATTTTAGCTTGTTCATCTGGGCTTTGAAAGAGAAACTGACATTTTAAAAAATAATTAAAACATTAAAGAAAGTTTTTATTACAATCTTTTAAGAATGTGTGAATTAAGGGTTAAAAAATTAAGTTAAACAATTAGGCAAATCCCAATGAAAGCATGTCTTTAGTTTTTATTTGTCCAAAGAGGCTAAACATATTTCACTGTTTGCTTATTCCTTAATATTTTTAAGAACATTTACTTTTAATCAAGTCCTTTGATTTAACTTTTCAAAAGAACAAAGGACTCTGAAGTTAAAAATTCTTGAGAATATGAAAGTTTCTTCTTTACTAGCTATTAATCAAATGACATATACCAAAATAAACTTTTTACAATCAATACTTTCTATCCGTGTATTTTTACCTTGTTTAATTCTTCCCTTTCTTGTTGCAGTGTTTTGATTTGCTTTTCATAAGCCTTGATTTGTCTGATAGCGTCATCCAGCTCCGTCCTCACGCCGTGGGCCTCCTCAAGCTGCTGTTCCAAGTGACTGGAATCTAAAAGAAGAAAAGTGTTTATTTTAGTATTAGTATAAAAACAAATGCTTAAAACCACGGTTTTAAACAACTAAGTTAAAAAATAACATATCTGGAATTTGGTATTAGGCTTATAGACACCTTGCACTAGGACTGTAACTCACCATAGTTCAAGGCGAATGAAGTTCACTGAAGAGGGTGTACGGCTACTGTCAGTGTGAAAATGTGTAACACCTGTGTGTAAAAATGTCCTACATTTCTATTAGAAAAAGACCATACTTCCAGAAAAGTGCCTTCAGAACCAATTAAAAGCTTAAAACTATTAAAGACATCAAATGCCAACAGACAAAATAGACTGGTTTTCCTCTGTGGTTGGTTATTAGCGTTTGTGTGCTGACTTTAGTCACATTATTGTTAAGCCGGCTGCGCTTCTAATGGTTTTGGGCCCCAGCCCAGTTTCACTAGTGGGTATCTGAGGAAGAGTCCCTGATTTCACAAAGCAAATGTCTGAACACCTCTGATCTAGGTCTGTTCCCCCATTTTCTAGAAGAAGAAACCGAGGCCCAGGGAGCTGGATATCTAGCCTGAGGTCACATTGCTAAATGGTCTTGGAGCAAAGATGACCACTCAGGAACTCTGGCATGGGCCTCCTCACCTGGAAAGTAACGTTACCAAATAATTCTTTAAAAAATATTTTTTTTTAATGTTTATTTTTGAGAGAGAGAGACAGAGCATGAGCAGGGGAGGAGCAGCAAGAGAGAGCGAGACACAGAATCCGAAGCAGGCTCCAGGCTCCAAGCTGTCAGCACAGAATCCGATGTGGGGCTCGAACTTTCAAACTGTGAGATCATGACCTGAGCCAAAGTCAATGGTTTAACCGACTGAGCCACCCAGGCGCCCCTACTAAATAATTCTTTTTTTTTTTCTTTAAATAGTTTATTGTCAAGTTGGTTTCCATATAACACCCAGTGCTCATCCCCACAAGTGCCTTCCTCCATGCCCATCACCCCCCCTTCCCCTCTCCCCCACCCCACCAGCCCTCGGTCTGTTCTCTGTATTCAAGAGTCTTTCATGGTTTGCCTCCCTCCCTCTCCCCCACTGTTTTTCCCCTTCTTCTCCCCCACAGTCCTCCGTTAAGTTCCTCCTAATCCTCCTATACGTGCAAACATATGATATTTGTCCTTCTCTGCCTGACTTATTTCGCTCAGCATAACACCCTCAAGGTCCATCCATGTTGCTACACATGGCCAGATTTCATTGTTTCTCATTGCCATGTAGTATTCCATGGTATAGATAAACCACATCTTCTTGATCCATTCGTCCGTTGATGGACACTTAGGCTCTTTCCATGATTTGGCTATGGTTGAGAGTGTTGCTGTGAACATTGGGGTCCATGTGCCCCTATGCATCAGCACTCCTGTATCCCTTGGGTAAATTGCTAGCAGTGCTACTGCTGGGTCATAGGGGAGTTCTATTGTTAATTTTTGAGGAACCTCCACACTGCTCTCCAGAGGGGCTGCACCAGTTTACATTCCCACCAACAGTGTAGGAGGGTGCCCGTTTCTCCACATCCTCGCCAGCATCTAGAGTCTCCTGATTTGTTCATTTTAGCCACTCTGACCGGTGTGAGGTGGTATCTCAGTGTGGTTTTGATTTGTATTTCCCTGATGAGGAGGGATGCTGAGCATTGTTTCGTGTGTCTGTTGGCCACCTGGATGTCTTCTTTGGAGAAGTGTCTGTTCATGTCTTCTGCCCATTTCTTCACTGGATTGTTTGTTTTTCAGGTGTGGAGTTTGGTGAGTTCCTTATAGATTTTGGATACTAGCCCTTTATCTGATATGTCATTTGCAGCTATCTTTTCCCATTCCGTTGGTTGCCTATTAGTTTCATGGGTTGTTTCCTTTGCCGTGCAGAAGCTTTTAATCTTGATGAGGTCCCAATCGTTTATGTTTGCTCTTGATTCCCTTGCTTTTGGGGATGTGTCAAGTAAGAAATTGCTGCGGTGGAGGTCAAGGAGGTTGTTTCCTGCTTTCTCCTCTAGGGGATGGTTTTCAGGATGTTTAATCTTAAAGATCTTTAGTCTTACACTCAAAATTATATTTGACCGCTTCCTCAAGTTTCAGCATTGCATGTAGGATTTTTTTTTCAGTTTAGACTAATTTCCTTGAAACATTTTTAAGTGAAACTTTTCTGTTATTTTAAGGTTTTAACACTTTTAAGATGTCAAAAGTTTGTTATTTCTAGTAATTTGGAGTCAAAATTTAGTATGTGACATGGCTGACTTTTGTCATTTGAGGGGTCTAACTGGAATCCTATTCACCCGAGCCAGCTGAATGACTGACACTCACCTCCTTTCTTCTACTCCGAAGAGTTCTACCCTGGCATGGTGGAGGGTTTTGGCAAATTATGGAGTCATTTGCTTATCTCAACTGCTTTTCATAAGAAACAAAAATGAAGTCAGTGTTTTATAAACTGTCTGCATCACATCGAGTGACAGCGAAACGACTCCCCAGGGCGGCTTCGGCAGCCTGCGGGGACGGTCACGGCTCTCTCCCGGTGGAGGGCAACTGTCTGCCCCCAGCCATTTCACTGTGGCTGCTTTGCAGTGGAGTTCGTAAGTGTATCTGCGAATTACAGGTCAGATGTTCGCTGTTTCACACAGAAGGGTTGGAGAAGACAAACATGTGATGATTTATAGAATCTTCCAAGCTAATAGACACGGAATTTTTCATTCCCCAAAGAGAAAAACCCCAACTCAAGAAAAATCCAGTATGTACTGAGTTTCAGAAAAATCCAGAATGCGCTGAATTTTGACCAACAAGTGTAAAATGGCGAAGGCACGTGACTATTTACTTCCACTGACAATTGGTGAATTCGATCAAGACACTGAAAGAAATCCTCAGAGACTATAAAAAGTACCCCATGCGACACGACGACCATGCCACCCGGGTGAAGTGGTTAAAACGCAGTTTTCGGGAGCAGCACCAGCACCAGCACCAGCACCACGGGCTAGCGCATCCCAACCCGGTTCCGAGCTGCTGCCGCCGGGGCTGCCGCGGGATCCGACGTGCTCGTGATGAGGACTGAATCCGGGATGAGAACGCGGGAGGGGAATTTTCTCTGCAGCAAGTGGCACAGAAGAGAAGTATTAAACAGACTCCGTCTTGAAGGAGATGACAAGTCAGGAGGATGAAGAGTGACCCACCACACGTGAAGGCGAGGCGCACACGTAAACCGCGTGGCCGGTTCTAGGGACCCGGGAAGGAGGCCAAGGCGGGAGGTCACGGCTGCCGCGGGACTGCGCATGGGGCAGGACAGCCCGCGACGGGCGAGGCCCGCGGTCAGGGGGGGCGTCAGGGGCACAAGCACGTCTCCCTGCCCCGCGCGGACGCGGCCTCGCGCGTCTCCCTCACCTCTCCCTGCCCCGCGCGCGGACGCGGCCTCGCGCGTCTCCCTCACCCATCCCTGCCCCGCGTGGACGCGGCCTCGCGCGTCTCCGTCACCTCTCCCTGCCCCGCGCGCGGACGCGGCCTCGCGCGTCTCCCTCACCCATCCCTGCCCCGCGTGGACGCGGCCTCGTGTGTCTCCCTCATCCCTCCCTGCTCTGCGCGCGGACGCGGCCTCGCGCGTCTCCCTCACCCATTCCTGCGCCGCGCGGACGTGGCATGGCCGCTTCTCCTTGACGCTCTGATCCCTAAAATCATCCTGGACCTTCCGAGAGGTGAAGAGATCTGACTTCTCATCATGATGGGGAAAAGAGGCTCCCCTATTCTCACCCTTCTCCCTTCATTCACTATCTTTCTCCTTCATTTACACGATGCAAGGCTGTGTGTGTGTGTGTGTGTGTGTGTGTGTGTGTGTGTATGTGTGTGTGTGAGGGGGGGAGGGGGAGAGGGGGAAGAGAGAGAAAGTTTAGACTTGCAGAGATGCAGAAAAAAGGGTGGGTGCCAGGGGCTGGGGGCTGGTGGGGGAAGGGCTTCCGTGGGGGACAACGCTGGGCTGCAGACAGAGCGTGATAGTTGCACAGCACATGACCGTGTTAAGAGGCCACTGGCCTGATGTTTAAAAATGGTTAAAATGGTCATTTTATGTTATGTACGTTTTACCACAAAAAATAGGCTTAAAAGTGAACGGTGAAAGAAATGAACGAGATTTACTGGAATCAAGAGGCATGCTGAGAGACCAGCACGTGACCCAGAAAAGAGGGTCTGGGAAGGAAGGATACTAAAAAGAGGATTTACCTTTTCCCTTAACCTCGTTTTCACCGGTTCTGCCCCCAACCCCACCCGGGAAATGCTAAACTATAAGTGAAGAGCAGTCGTACAGGCTCCATGTTTAGGGGTAAAGTAGAGAAGAGACTCTCCATCAATAAGAGGTCAATGGTAAGCAATTTCCCCAGTTAGGATGGCTCCTTCCAGGCACGTAGCTTGTACGTAAGGGCTGAGTGTGCTGGGAATTGCCCGGAAAGACATATTAGGGAGACACCTTAGGAAGTGATCACACGTTTTCAAGAGCGAAGTTTCACTTAGTCACTGGCTCATCAACAAATATTGACTAGGGGTGTTTAAGTGTTCATGCATCCTTCAGTGCACTTGGACGTATCAAGGAATAAAACTGTCAAATTTCCTATTTTCTTTTTTTTTTAATTTTTAATGTTTTATTTATTTTTGAGAGAGGGAGAGAGAGAGAGACACCATGAGCAGAGGAGGGTCAGAAAGAGAGGGAGACATAGAATCCAAAGACAGGCTCAAGGCTCTGAGCTAGCTGTCAGCACAGAGCCCGACGCGGGGCTTGAACCCACAAACTGTGAGATCATGACCTGAGCCGAAGTCAGACTCTTAACGGACTGAGCCACCCACGCGCCCCCAAAATTCCTATTTTCAAGAAGCTTACCATCTAGCAGTGAGGGAAGGGAAGGAAAACAATATACACATAAAAAAATACGTCAGTGATAAAACGTATTCTAGAGGAGTTTAAGGTGAGGAATGTTTCTGGCGAGCAAACAAGCAAAAATGAATAAA